AGGCTAAAATTCCAGTAAAATACCTATAACTCTGGACAGAAGACCTAACAGCCCTTATCCTTTTAGGGTTTTTCATACCTCACTGGGGTCTACCTTATGCACAGAGTCCGAACTCAAAAGCGATTTTACACTTGCATATGTTCCCTCGTCAGTATTAGAATAATGACTATTTTAATATAAACAATCTTCAGTTTTATATTTTGTTGGTTAGTTGATTCGTTCACTCGTATAAATATCTTGTTAAATAAATAACGCATTGCGTTTTTTTAGCAAGCTTGCTCATCGATCATAAATAATCCAGGACTGGCTCGATAGGGGGTTTTGGGGGTTATGACAACCCCCCAATAATCGAAAATTGTCGTTTTTACCCAGCAAAAAATGAATTTTTTTTCGTGAGTAGTGTTAGAAAAAAGTTTTATTCGCATTAAAAATATCCGAAACAACCCCCCAAAAAATCGCGACAACCCCCCCAATGTTTGCTGACTCGGGCCAGCCCTGAAATAATCAATATCAATTTTAAACCTGTATAACTTTAAAAAGAAAAGACCTAAACCGACATCCGCAACGTTTCCTAATAGGAAGCAAGTAAATCAATGGATCATATAATTTTTTTTATGAATAAAAAAAACAAACCAACTATTAAACAAAGAAGAAAATATTTTTTGATTTTCTATATTCTTAGATCATGGATTTAAGTTTTTGTAAGAAATCTTGAAAATGATTAGTGATACAATCGAGATCATTTAATGAATGGACATGAAGAGATATGAAATCGACCAACACCATTTGTAAAAAAGTCGACACAACAATAAATGTAAGGATGTCCACCATTGATAATATATCTTTCTGCAATGTCATCATTTTTAAACCAATAACTCATGTCGACATAATGATCGATTGTTATAATATTGTAAAGAAATTTAGCCATTCGTGGCATATGAATAATAATATCTTTATAGAGAACAGCACCATCAATAAATTTTGATCGATTTTCAACATTGAGACATAAAATGAGTTCTTCCATATTCGGCATTCGTCGTAGTAATGGCACTATCACATTATCATACTCTTCTGTTGGCATAGCTGGCATCAAAGAAAATGTTGTCAAATTAGGTAGACTATTCTAGAGAACACAAGAAAGAAACACACAAATTAAAACATTTAAAAAAAAAGAATTCTCTCTACTTGATTTGCAATATTCAATGATGGAGCTTTAATAGAATCAACTGTAACGTTCAAAGTTTTCATTTGATTGAAACGACCATCGAGTAGACGCAAACAATCGTCTATCGTATTTACATTAACATTTAATTCGACTATACTCGATGATGAACACATAGTCAATGGTAAAGCATTTCGTCGCATCCATGTATCCAAATGAAGATAATTTCCGTTAATATTCAAATGAGTTAAATGTTGACAGACAGAAAAAAGACGTGCATATCCATTTTTATTTAAGTCCATTTGTGATATTGTCTTATAGCTATAATATTCTATAGTAGAGAGTTCAAGATGTGTAATCTGTTTAAAGATATGTACGATAGACGAATCATCTAAACACAAACATTAAAGAATGATTTATAATGACTAAATTATTAGTATTTCAATATCGACAAATTTCATACCAGCTAAATATTTTAGAAAAACTTCAGGTGTGATTGAATTTAAAATTAATTTATGAAGTTTAGGATAATCACAAGCAAGGAGAATACGTCCCATTGACGATGCTTCGACAACAAGAGACTGAATATTGTGATGAATTTGAGGTAATATAAATGAACAAAATTGATCGAGCATAGAATCAGGCAAAGAACGTCGTTCATCATCTGATGTTGTAGTTGTTAAATCGACAAAATGAGTAAAAAAAGGATCACATGCCAATCGATTGAGTCGCTTGTTAACATTCAAAATTGAATATAGTACATCAACTCTTGTGAGTTTATAGAAAATTTCAAGAAGCATTTCATCAGGCAAATCAAGTAGTTGAACAGTTGAGCAATTCATGATCGATTTTATTCTATAGCTCTTTACGATGTATGTAATATATATGTCGTATCGAAGTTAGCATGTTTATCGAAGTTATAACTTCGATAAAATTTTTATCGAAGTTACAACTTCGATGCTTCCTCTTATCGAAGTTTAACTTCGATAGAATTTTTTT